CCTCTGTTAAATATGGTCAAAATAGAGAGTTAAACCATTTTATAGCCAAATGGCTTTAGAATCCTACGGCTCTTCCAGTTTAGAACTTACTATCGTGGCTAGACACAATCAAATATCCTAAAATGCACAAACACTCCGTGGTTTACAATAGCAGCTCATTATCCTTCCGGATGTTTTTTAAACATTGAAAGATGTTTAGGTTTACGATTATGTGAATCCTAAGACGCAGGTTTTCAGCCTTTGATACAGAGGACAGAAGGGAAATTGCAAAGCACCAGTCATTTCGCTCCCATGGTTATCTACTCTGCTGCTCTTTTCTTATGGAAGCATTTGCAACTGGTGTCACTAATGGTTGCTGTTTGAATGGCGCCCTTGGCGATCAATTTTCTGCTGTCTTATAACCAGGGAAAATGCAGAAAATTAACTACCATAAATTCTGTTTGCTATGCAGTCCTACTCAATGCCTGTAACGTTTTCGTCCTGTTCTTGGCAGAAAGCAGCGGGTGCCAACTCCCCATTGCACTGCACATGTATAAAGTGTAAGAACTAACAGATAACGTGTTCTTCTTTCTTCTGGTGCTGTTTTCCTGGGCAACTGTCCATATGGCAGAAATGCTGTTAGATCTAAGGATCTCCTGTCAATAATCACACCATGGCAGTACTTTAGAGTTGTGATTAGTTCATTTGACAGTGAAGCAGCTCCATGTGAACAGGCTGCACTCTGTGGAATTTTGCAATTTCTCTCCATGCATGTGTGGAATTTTTTCAATTTTCTGGTTTATCAACCCCAATAATACCAGTTTGGCTGGTAATTTAGGACAAAGTAGGACAAAATGTTTGTTTTTTATAATGCTGAAATAGATAACTTTAGGTGACATTTTGTGATAGTTAGAACGATTGTAGGTAAGAGAGCTTAAAACTCCAAATTTGTGCAAAAAAATATTATATTTAAAAATAAAACTGTAGAATTATTTTTGTCTTCAAAATATAAATGTGTCATGTGTTAAACATTATGCTTTATTTGCATAATGCTTAACACATTGCATGAAAGCTGGCAACCAAGACAAAATATAAACCCAAAAATAACTTATTTTATTAACACTGCATTGGATTTATGAAACATATTTCTGTTATTTTATGCTCCTCATGGAATAGGAGCAAGCATGGACATGTTTTCAGAGTCTAAAAGCTTGCTGGTGCTGTTTGAGTTCCACAATGGTTACTGTCGGAACAAGTATCAGGATTACTGTTTCCTTCTACTACAGCTGTAAAATTGCTATATTAAATTTCTAAATATAAAGTTCAACAAATATAAAAGTGTCAATCTGTTTACACTTAGTATCTTGCAGCAACACTTTTTTTTTCCTGACCTCTTTTTCCACTTCCATTTTGGTAATCGTGTTGTTTATTAAGATATTTTTCTTTGTGTAGTTTACCAGCTCCATGGCTCAGATTCTGACACAGTCCAGTGACACACACACTGCACTTGTTACCCCAGATTGCTATCAGGGCTTTCTGCCAGTGCCTCTGTCTTGTTATCGTTTGTTTGTGTGTGTGTGTGTTAGGGTGTTGTGAGGAGGGGAGGAGTAGGGGCGGAGCAACTTCCCCCCCTCCGTTTTTCCTTCGACCCCTTCAGAAGTCACACAGAGGGGCCGGATCACAGCAAAACCAACATGTGGTTTGAGTTAGCATCTCTCCATTACGCCTTCTCTATGCGGGCTTGTATGCATACTCACAGAGCTTGTTGGTGTCTCTGAACTGGTGCAGTTTATAATTTCACTTTTAAAGCTAGGTGTGTTGTTTGTGCAGATTTTTTGTGACTGAGAGAAGAAGTTTTAGGTGTTGCGTGTGAGTTCTTCTGTTGTGGGTAAGGTTAAGTTAAAAAGTCAATACACTGTCTCTGAAGATTCTGTGATTAAAGGAATAAAAATGTTTAAATCTTTTTCTTTGAAAAAGCAGTTATCCCCTCAGATGCAGTCAATGCATTATTAGTTCATATTGAAAATATACATATATGCTGTATATTTAAACCTGTCGTGCAGCTTGTTTGTGCCCTGAATTCTTCCTCTCTGGCTGCGCTGGCAAGAAGTGCGGATGTCATGGTTTTTGACTATTATCAAAGTTTATCTCTTCAGCATCTCAGGAAGCAGAACAGGAGGGAGCAATGAACCAGCTCACTCAAGCTATTTTCTCCTTTTTTGATTATTTAAATAACCTCTCGCTGCGTCACAACATCAGATCTTTTTCCAGCCCAATTTACTCACCCACACAACTTTTCTCAAAGTGGCCTCTTGGTTTTTCTGACCGCTGCGATACGCATCTCCCCACTTATAAAATGATTGTCTGATTAAGTGATGCTTGCTCAATGTAAATTGGACTTGAAACAGACTAAACATAATAATACTTGAATAACTTTAATTGGGGAGTGAAAGTGGGTCGCAGTGCGTCCAAATGCAGAAGTACAGATGAACATGATAAAGTCCATCAGCACCAAAAACTCTATGTGAAAGAATTGGACTGTAATGTTGTTGAAGGATTTATTATCTTTGGACCAAAAGCCTTGAGCTTTACTGCTAGGTTAAAGGCAAACATTATGTTTCAAGAATGCAGCCATAATTGATGGACTGTGTTTTCAGGAATGTTAAATTTGTAGTACTCAGCACATTTTACCAAATTGAATATAAATTTGTGGTTTATTTGGTGACAAATTTGGCTGAAAAAATAAAAGAATCAAGTCTGTGTTCAAACTATCCATATTTTCTGATATATTTTCTTTTGTGAGATTCTGATCTGGACATTCAAAAACCTGTAGAATGAAATCTTACAACAGCTGCATGTGTTGTAAGATTTAATTCAGCATGGATGAATTAACCTCCTGAGAATGCTACTAACCTCAATCTAAGATTGCTGCCACTGTGTTTCGATTGGCTTTAGTGTAGATGAAAGTAAAATCCAAATCCTATTTATTAAAGTTGAAGAAAGTATTTGATAGTCCCAGCAGTAACAACTTAAAATATATATTTTTTAAATAAGTCTTCTTTTCCTGCATTTTATATTTTTACATAAATCAGATAGATCACCAGATAAACCATGTGCAATGGCCAAAAACAGCAGCAAGGAATTACCACAAGATGAAAAAGTATTGACAAATAATGTTTAAATTTCCGTTGTAAGGTTTAATATTAGTATAGGCCAGCCAAAAGGTTATAAATTACTTTACATGAAAAACAATACATAAAGGAACTAAAGTTTTATAAAAAAATAATATTAATAATAATAATAATAATAATAATAATAATAATAATAATAATAATGATGATAATATTAATAATGATAATGGCAACAGAAAATATTTACATATTTGCTTCAAAAAGGATAGTTGATAATTTCCCATTTTATTCCTGAATTGTTGTAAAAAGACATCTGCTGATCTCTGCAAAGCAGGTGGAAACAGAAGATCTATCATATATAAAGATAACTAATATTTTGTAAAGATTAATTAACTATACTTTGATATATTTAATATCAAATTGAACTGTATAAGATGCATTGCGCTGAAATTATGTTTTTTTTTTTTTTCCACATACTCCAAAATGACTAAGAGGAATCTTTCAAAATTTTGCCTCCCTGGGACATGACTAAGTTATTTTATGCCTGAGTAAGCACTCATTCTCTTGGGAAATATAAAAATAGGAATTTATTTCGAAAATGGAGGACTAGATTTCATCTGAGCAACAGTTTGTTCCCACCATTGGCCTCAAAGTTATCTAAATACATTTGTGATAGAACCCGATAATCATTAAAAAATACACAATTAACTCTGAACCATGAAAAGAACAATCAAAAGACAACACCCACCTCCAATCTAAAGTCCACACAGCCGAAATCTTGGTAAAACAAACTGCTTGTGAAGTTTTTTTGCAATGGGATCCCTGTAAGAAAAGCGATCTGCACCAGAAAATGTGGTCAGGGGGTTGAGACCTGAACTTTGCCTCATTGGTTAACTGGCTCTCCCAGTGGGACCAATCTGTTTGTTGGTGCAGCAGTATATTTATCAACTCTCTGTGCTTCTCAGTGGCACTGATATCCTGAGGATGTGGAGTCAGAGGCATGAATAGATGCCTGTATGGACAGACTGTTTATTTGCGAGCAGTTGAAGGTCGAAGCATGGCAGAGAGGCCTGGCATTGGATGATATTCCCAGAGATTCTGTGACCTGTTTCCTTATATATTATGCATTTTTGATTTGGTGGATTTGATGTGTTTTAATACATGAATCATGTCAACTGGCTGCAGAAAATAAATATATAATCTCAACCTAATAGTATTTTTGCATTATATTTCTGGTTTATAGCTATAAATATAGATTGATAGAGATTGATATAGATTGTTCTGACAAGTCCAACACAAAGAACTATAAAATTGTCAAAGAAAAAGGCAAAATAAACAAAAACAATATCATCCATTTTACTTTTCAAGGTTGATATGAAATGTTCTATTCCATAAATCTAAAGGGGTGCAAATATTGCAACAAGAAGCCAGAGTAGAAAGAGTAGTAACAGCTATAGGTGAAAAAGTACCAGGTACCACTGAGCGGCTTGCGGAATCACCTTTCTATTTTCTTCATAAATTCAGTTTGTTGCTGTGATTGGAATCATTTTTCTGCTGAAGATTCAGTTCGTTTCAGCTGACAGATGGTCTCATATTTCACTCAACAAAATTTTGGTATAAAGATTAGTTTATTGTCAAATTGATCCCAAATCACTATACCTACACAAAAATGCCTAACAGGTGATAAGAGGTGTTTTTACTTAGCTGCTGATTTTTTTTTTTTTTTTTCCTGTAACCATTTTCCTGTTTGTCTTGATGGGAACTTTCACACTTGATATTTATTGCATTTTAAACAATCAACTTTTATGAGTAGGATAAACTTACATAAATATTGGTTGCTTGAAAAAGCTTGGAAGCATTTTCGAAAATTGTGGTAGAATGTGAAATGTTAAAAAAAAGTTTAATTTTGACTGGTACTTGACATGCCTTATTTTTACCTCACCAAAGTGAAGGTGATGTTTATTAAGCATTTCCTATTTTTGTATTTCTGCAGTTGGAGAACTTCATACAGAAGAGTATAAGGCGAGATGCTGCTAACATACAGTCGCATGTTGTTAACAACCAAACAGCCACAATGTTGGAGATCGGAACGAACCTCCTCTCACAGACAGCAGAGCAGACACGCAAACTCACTGTGGTGGAAGCCAAGGTAAGGAGTTTTCATTTTTCTTGGTATTACTTCAGTCCACAATTCCTGGGTGAATTATGATTCTGTTCTTCCACCAGGTGCTGAATCAAACATCTAGGATAGAGATCCAGCTTCTGGAGAATTCACTGTCCACCAATAAACTGGAAAAGGAGCTCTTACTCCAGACCACTGAGATAAGGCAGCTGCGAGATAAGAACAGGTAATAAATGTTGGTATTCAGAAACATATGAATCATATTTCTGCTTCACTCTTCTTATGTTGATAAAATAGCAACAGTGAGAAGTCAGAATTTGTTGGAAAAATGGTTCTTACAAGGTGAGACACGCGCATACACACACACAAAAGGTGGAAACAATATCTGATTGCTGCTGACCTATTAGCAAGAATATTTGAAATCTAAGCAAGTCTGTGGAGAAATAATGGAAGTGTGTCCTCTGTTGTTGCTGAGAGACTCACCACTATTTGGATTCACAATATTTTTTGTATTTTTCATTATGAAGCGAATTTGGACAATGCAGTAAGTGGCGAAACCCACAGTGATAATCAAGCATGTTCTCTGTTTACAGTAATCGATGTAACACAAACAGAAAGGCTTGGACTGCACACATATGTGTCAGCATGTAACGGATGAGGAAACAGTAGTTTTAAAGCTGGTGAGAGATTTCCTTTGTTTTGCAACCTTATAAACTCTGACACTTATAAACACAGAAACACGCAATCCAAGTTTAGTGGGTGATATAGCTAGGACTGATTAGCAACATTTGTTTACAAAATGAAATAAAAGTGAATGAACTGAATAAACTGCGGATGTTAAAATAAAACATCAGTTTGAAGAACTCAAATATTTCAACCGTAACAAATGAACTAAGGTTTTACAAGACATTTACAATTACCCTGTGGAACAGTGTACTTGATTTGAACAATAGGAGAAATTTTAAAAAAAGAATTAACCATTCCTAGTATTACTTTGTTTTGTGTTTTCGTTATTCTTTTTTTTACCACCACTATTCCACAGATCTAAAATATGGCAGATTTGCACAGACGATTCACCATGATTGGTCTCAAGTGATCCATGCAGTTTATTATGTGTATAAAAGTGACATTAAAACCAAGTGACACATTTTGTTATTCACATACAAAAAGCTCAGATTTGACCTGTTATATACAAAAAATAGAATTTCTCCAGGTCCAATTAAGATGTTTTTGCTGGACAATCGGTCAAAATAACCTAATAAACTATACAATACTCTTTTGTATCATACCAGTTCTTTTTCCTTCTGTGATTCCTACATTGTACTCTTTTGGAAATTTGAATACTGTAGAAGTGTTGGCATGCATCTAATGTAGATCCCATCACAATAGAACAGTTCATGTGCATCAGTTTACACCTGGTGGTAAAAGGGGTTGGTCCTGACAAACCAGATGTGAATGAATCTTGCTTCTTTGTTCAAATAAACATGTATGTTTCTTCACTCACAACCAGCTGTGGAGAAATGGACAGGACATCCTAGGTCTGCTCAAGTTTCTGCAACACCCCAGGTTAAGCTCAGTGACCTGGACCATATAGCAGACTATAACATAACATAGCATTGAAGTCTTTGTCAAAATACAGCAATCAATACAACTCAGGCAGATCTTAAACACAGATTCCACATTAGAGACAAGCACTCTTTTATTTTTACTTTTTTTTAGCTTTGATTTTAAACCAAAATTGAATATTTGGACATCCTTCTACAGTATTTTTATACAGCTTGTTCAAAATAGATGAGTCAGTTAGGCATCTTATAATTTACAACAAATCCCAATTATAGACTAAATATGTTCTGAGCTGTCTTCAGTGTGTTTTCAGGTGAAGTCAGTTTTGTTGTATATAAGATTCTGAAATATGCAAAGTTCAAATGTGTTTCCAAACAAATTGTACACAATATTTCATTAGACCTGTTTAATGTTGTAATTTTATTATTATTATTATTATTATTATTATTATTATTATTATTATTATTATTATTATTATTATTATTATTATTATTATTATTATTATTATTATTATAAGCATTAATTTTAAAAAACAAAAGTTTCCATTTTTGCTTTGTTTTCTAAAATCACTTCCAAGTTTTTTCCTTATTAGCTTAAGTTAGCTGAGTTGTGCCAGCTTCCACCATGTTTAAGAAACGTATTTGAACTCAACTGACTTTGAAAATTAAACAGATGGTCTTTGTTAATTAGGAATTTGTTCATATAAAAAAAATTAATGCTGCCAACAATAATGTGCTAGACTAGAATGGAATAGTTTGTCCACCAATCAAAAGTCAAATAAAGAACAACCTGAACCTACAAAGTCCATGGTTTGTCTAAAATCTGACACATTTGAAAACATGTTTAAGCGAAGTAATAAGGATTTCCTGTTCTGAATTTTGAAATTTAAAATACAGACATAAACCTTTTTCTATCCTATATTTTGTAAATAAAGTAAATTAACATTGCTATAACTTTGCAATTTTGCAGAATGAATGAGCATTCATTCCCACTTGTTTCTTTATACGTTCCTCAAAAACCGCAGCAGATTTAAACAGTCAATCTGTCTCCATCAGGGTGAAAATTGTTTTCACATTTACGTGCAGTTCAGCATGTTGAAGTGATCACAGCCAGGGACTGACCCTGGATTTCAACTCTGTTAAAGTGCCCAAAGTCTCATCCGTTCATGTAAGACAATATTATTCCAACTCATAAATGAGCAACAGAAGCACAGCATGATGAGGCATTTTGTTCACATTTTACATTTTCATTTAGGAAAAAAATTGCTTTAGGAAAGCAAATTTAGATTTTTAGAAACTTATGAATTTTCATAAACAACATAAATTCCTTCCTTGCTACAATTTGTTTTTATTTTTGTGCCACTAAACACCTGATAAACAGTATTTAGTCATTTTTAAGCCATAATTCACATGGTTTTCAACCAAATCATCACTTTAATGTTGTCATCAGTGTTTCTGTTGTCAGATGGATTATCATGAACTGTAGTTCAGATGCTAAGGCTTCACTTTACCTTTGGGAGCTTCTTTTGCTCCCAAAGGTAGATACCACCAATCAAAACCTGATTTCTTCCAAAAATGTCTTCAAATATGAATTCAGGATAAATAACTCATATTTCAACAGAAAAATATTTCTATATAAATCTTCACTTTGGTGGCAAATCCTCTGAGGAGTCATCAGGAACGTTGTTGAGCTGCGAAACGTTCATTTGGATGTCTGAGAATCCAGTTTGTACAAAACTATTGTAGCTGATCTCTTGAGGAACAAAACCACAGTAACAAAACCTGATTTTCCAAACAGAGATTATGATTTAACCATCAAAACATTTGAATATAAAATATATTTACCCACAGAAGAAGATTTTTTTTCTGTGAATGTATAACTGTGGGTTTTGTTGATGCATGCATTATGAAAGATTGTTTCAATCTAAAGGTTGAGGTGAACATGTAATACCAGTGGCTACTCATGTTTTAGACGGTTGACTTTATTTTTTGTAAGTCAGCCATTTTATCATGACATAGTTTAAACGTTTGATGACGGAGAAACCCAGACACGGTGGAATATTTTCTAACTATGATTAATTGTATTATATGCAGCATTGGGATCCCAAAGGAAAACTACAGATCCAAGTACATTGCTTAATGTTTCACCACCACAGTTTTTGTGCTGTGATGGGCTCTAATTCCTTACAGCTCTTTCTAAGAGATATAAAAGTTTCTGAAAACAGAAAAAAGATGCAATTTCCTCTCATGTGATTCATAGCAAAAAGCTGGTCAAATGTTTAATGTGAAGGGTTTTTTCAGGGCTCCTTTTCTGTGTATCTCTTTCAGCCGTTTGGAGAGCAAAGTTCAGTTGTTGGAGTCTCAGCAGAGAGGAGAGCTGGAGGACATGAGACTGGAGAAGAACCGGCTGCAGGTACAGTTAATGAATGGGACATCTGTGTGTTATTATAGTAAAGAAACATCATTGGCAGAGAACTGTTTGGACAGGTGTCTGAGTATGTATTAAAATTAATCATGAAAGGTCTCTCAGATGTTTATATTCTCTTAATCATGATTTTAGTATAGATTTTGACTCTGTAGAGCCACACTTACAGTCAAAAAAAGAAAATTTAAATGCACACATTAAAAACTGATGTAGTAAGTGTAAGTCATCCACAGACATGCAAATAACCTTTTTTTTCTCATATGATTTTATTTTCAAAAAACAAAAACAAATGTGCATGTATGAACAATAATCTCAGTTGTTAATGTTAGAATACAAAATGCTAAATAATGCATCATATCTTAACAATAATTTGCAATAATGAAGGCCAACAAGTTGCTCAAAGAATCCACAGACAACAATTAAACATTAATAACCTTCTGGTTTTCTTCAGTCTGTTATCAGGACTCAGATGGTGGCCATAGAGTCTTTAGAGAGGCAGCTGAGAGTTGCCACTAGCAACAACACGGCTCTACAGAAGCAGCAGGCTCAGCTGATGGAGTCAGTCCACACACTCATCGACATGGTGGCCACGACTACCGGTACGTCCAAAAACACCAAGAGGTTGTCTGGAAATAAGATCTTAACACTTGATATTGTTTTGCATTATGTCATGTGTTTTGCTTTCAGGGTCTCCTCCTCGGAGCCAGATGTGGAAGGACTGTGCAGATGCTTACAAGGCTGGTCATTCTGCCAGTGGTCTGTATCTCATCTACATTGGTAACAGGACAGAGCCTGTGCAGGTAATCACTTGATATTCAAGAGTCACAAAAGGTTCAAGCGATTTTCAGTATTAAGATAATTTTTTGTTTGAAAAAATAAAAAATGGGGTTTTTTTTTTTTTTTTTTTTTTTTTTCGATGGGCAGGAAGGAAGGGGTTGGGTATTGGGGTAATAATAAGAAAGTACTAATATGAACTTCCGTCGGTAGGTTCTGCCATTCATATTTAACATCTCCTTTTTTATTATTATTTTAATTTGGTTGAGACATATCAATTTAGTATGTGTTTAGGTAAAAATATGCAGTTTGCTCCAATTTTCATTTTTATTCTTTAACACCTTTGTAATAATGATCAAACTTCACAATGCATTTGCACTTGTGAATGCCATGTGGGTTTGACTCAAGTCAATTTCTGTTTTGTTTTCTATTTGTATTACATTGTGTCCCTCATGTGAGTCAAATTTTTCCATTTCTCCTCCTGAAGGTTTACTGTGACATGGAGACGAGTGGCGGCGGCTGGACGGTCTTCCAGCGCCGTTTTAACGGCAGTGTGGATTTTCAGAGGAGCTGGAGGGAGTACAAAATGGTCAGCATGTTTTAGAATGAGTGTAGTTAAAAACGATGAAATGTAAAAAATTAAACCATCAGGCGAATTTTTTCACTATCACTCCTAAACTCCTTGTCTTCTCGGCCTGCTGCAGGGTTTTGGGGATCTGTCGGGGGAGCACTGGCTGGGTAATGAAGTTTTGTACCTGCTGACCAGTCAGGGTCAATACTCTCTCAGAGTGGAGCTGCAGGACTGGGAGAGAATCTCTGCGCACTCCCAGTATGACCGGTTTACAATGGCCAGTGAAAGACAGCAGTACAGGTGACCCACATGCACACACGCCACCCTGCTGAAAGAGAAATGATTTACATTATAAAAAATAAATACATTTGAATTTAACATTTCAATTCAGATTCAGTGCCTTAACTTATGCCTCCCCTACTCATCTGTGAGGTTCTAAGTAAAAACAAATGTTCATTGCCATTTTTCAAGAATGAACAAAGTAAATCTTTTTTTATGCTAAACACTTCAAAATATCCCAAGAAAGTATATTGACATTAAATGCTAAGATTTTATGCAGCTCATATTCATCTCTGATTTTCAAGGAGTAGCTAAACACTCAGGAAAAACGTAACTAAATTCTTTGTATCTGCTGATTAGAAGCTTTTCATTTTTAACAAGCAAATTCAAAGTGAAGAAAACACTCAATGTGAAATACCATCCTTGATAGTCTGACCTCAGTTTAGAATTTTTCACTTGTTTTAGTGTTTATAAGGACCAATGCCAGACAGATGATCACTGATTTGTGCACATAAAGAATTCTGGAAAGTTATTTCTTTCTTTTTACAATGATTGCATGTTTACTGGTAGATGAAAAAAGATAATGATTTATGACAATCACTTACAATTGTTTTTATCTTAATAAGCCAAAACACAAAAATGTTTTGTCCATAAATCAAAAACTTTTAATCATTCATAAAAACAGATGTAACACAATCCTATGGCTGGATTTCTTTGAATTCTTTAGATGGAAACTATCTGGTCTGTGTCACCAGTTTATTTTCTGTCAAGAAAATTTACAGACAAACTGTATCCCTAGACATAGATCAAATAAAATGCAACACAACTTTGACTTAATGTGTAATAGTGCACATAATAATGCATATGTATGTGATTTTGAGATATTAATCAGAATGCATTTTTTAATATTTGAAATACTTAAAATGTAGACTATAACTAGAAAATCTATAGCTCTGGCTCACCTCAAACCTATAACTTAATCTTCAGTTTATATATTTTGGTATTTACATTTAACAGTGAACTAAAAACAATAGTCAAAAGTAGCCAGTTAATATCCTAAAGGACAGAGCAAGAGTTAAACAGTTTTTGTCTGGAGGAGATAGGAAAAAGTTCATTTTCCTGCTGGCCAAATAAAGGTAAAGGTGTCCTCATCTGTCTCAATTGAACAAAAATAACTCAGACGGCTGCAGTTCGTCCAAAGTGCTGCTGTCATACTACTCACTAACACCGCTGAGGTGGAGCGCATTCCACCGCTTCTTAAATCACTACAACGGCTCCCCCTGTGTCAAAGGGTAGATTTTAAATTCCTATTACTTCTCTAAAAAGCACTGGATGGCCTTGGGCCTAAATATATCTCTGATTTACTTCGAGATTACAAAACATTCTGATCCCTCAGATTGTCTGTGACAGCTTTAGTGAGTGCTGATGGAATCAAACTCAGTTTTTTATCCTCCCTACCTGTGAAACAGTTTGAAACCAGAGAGCAGCTCAAAGTGTGTGCTCATTTTGATCAGCGCAAAAACAAACGTCCCAAACTCAGTGTTTCCTTACCTGCAAGCCAGATGTTCTTGCAGTCTTTGAAAGTCAGTAAAAGTGTTTTTTGGGTTGCTTTTTTTAAGCTGCTTTATTTTGATTGATCAATCATTAATCATTAAGGAAAAAGAGGTTCAAGAACTCAATGGATAAACAAGTTTTATGTCTAAGCTACCATACAATTTATATATAAATTATAATGTATTTTCTTTAGCTTTTTACAGAGGAAGGTTAGTTAGTTAGTTAGTTAGTTAGTTAGTTAGTTAGTTAGTTAGGTAGTTAGTTAGTTAGTTAGTTAGTTAGTTAGTTAGTTAGTTAGTTGTTATGTGCATCTGCCGTTCACTCACTCATTTTATTTTCATAGTAAAATCTGAGCATTAGTTTGACAATAACTTTTAGTTCAGAGACAAAAGGACAAAACAGTAAAAAATAAACAGTAAGAATGAAAACTTAGAAAGACTTTCATACAGCCTGTAGAGCAGCTAATTTAAACAACTTCCATAGATTGGCAAGCAAATCAGCTTAGAGTATCTAAAATGGAAAGGAATGCATTTAACTTTTTTTATGTCTGCAAAACAAGAGAATAAGGTAAAGAAAATGACAAATGCTTTACCTGTCCTTACATGTTTTTTTTGTTTTGTTTTTTTTAAATCTTATTGTCTCTTTTCCCTCAGATTGTATTTGAGAGGTTACAGTGGTACAGCAGGAAGGCAGAGCAGCCTGATCACCCACGGCGCCGGCTTCAGCACCCGAGATCACGACAACGACAACTGCGACCACTGCAAATGTGCCTTGATGCTCACTGGAGGTAAACTTTATTTTCTCCTTTTACTAGAGTTAACGGGTTCCAGGTCAGTAGTCATTATGTGTAAGAAACATTATCTTTTTGAGAAATGAACTATTAGCATATCAATGACAAAATAAAAAGTTATAGAGTTTTAAATTGGGTATTTCTAGGGTGGAATAGTACAGATAACATTTCATTACATTTCCATCTAAGAGTGTATCTCTATCATAAATCAGTATAAATGTTTAAATGCTTCAAAAGACACACCTTTTACTAGTTAAGAATCAGAATTATTGGTATTTTGCCAAAAGGCCTGGCCAGTCAAACATCTGTCTCTGTCAATACACTTTCACCTTGAGCAAGCGCCAACACAAACAGCTCTTGGGGTCTCCTCAGCCTGCCCTCGATAGCTTGTAATCGCAGATTAACTTAATTGTTTCAGCTACAATCCTCCAGATCTCAAAGGAAAAGGCTCCAGCAGTGACCGTTAGTCAGAGTCATTTCAAATCACAGCAATTTATAGAGAAAGACAAAGTAAAATAAAAAGAGTGACTGAGATGGAAATAGCAAAGAAAAGTAAATGAAAAAAAGACAAACAGAGCTCCATCATCTGTCCCCCCAGGCATTTGCACCCAATTTGAAAATAATGAGTACTCTTTGTGAAAAACAAACCAAAAAAAAAAAACATGTTGTTTTTAGAAATTTCAGCGTAATTTCAGACACGTGTCACAAGGTAAAGTAAAAGCCTCTCTCTGGACCAGCCAAAATTTGCCTGACTTTTTTAAAAGTTTATGTTCTTTTTATTTGCAACTCTATTTTGATTGTATAAAAGTTGATTTAATTCCATGCTTTAAGCTCCTTGTTATTCTGTAAGGCATCTGTTAACTCTGTGCTTTCGAAATGCAAAGAGACAAGTAATGTGGCTTCAGGGATGCATTGCGTTTTATTGTAGCATCAAAAACGTGTAATGTCTGGTTTCTTTAAACTTTGCTACAGCTTTTCTTTAACAAATTTAAGTGGGGCTTATGCATTTGTTTAAACTTTTTCCAGGTCTGAATGGAAAACAGAAAGCAGGACACTTGATTAAAGATCTGGATTTTAAACATTCAGTTAAAAAGAAAAGCTTTGTGAAACTGAATCGCTGGGGTGAAACAAGGACAGCGATGTAAACAAAGGAAGACAGAAAGACTCAATATTTGCAAAAAGTGATGCAGAGTAAAGTTTTTCAGCTCGTTCAAGATGTTATTTTACACAAAGAAATTAAATATCAGAGCCATTATTAGAGTACTTCATTCAATAAACCTTTGAGATGGAGCCATTTATTAAACCAGAGCCAGACAAAGCTTTTATGGGGTCCTTAAGGAGAAAATGGTTGAGGCCCCCAAGCAGCACATAATAATGCCATGGGCATGCTCAGGATTTAACCACTCACATTCATGTTAATGGACCGTTCCAACTCCTGAGCTGCATTCTAACCTAAAATTATCATGAAGACAGACATGTAGGCCCCTGCAAATATTCCAAACCAAAATTATGTTAGGGCTGAAGCAACAGTCTTCATGTTGTATTTGGCCAAAGAGCTGCACGTGGACCGGCAGACTCAAGTGCCCGCAGAACGTTTCAGCTAAAAGAACCACAACGAAACAGATAAAGTCCTCGCCTAATAAAAACAATAATTCAGTCAGACTGAATTCCTCTCAGTCTTAGGTATTTGTTCTTGGAAGGATTGGTACCCAAAGCAATGCCATGCTGCCAAGCACAAATTAGTCTTAATTACTACTTATTAGACTTTGTTAGAGGTAAGCATTTGGGCATAGTGGTCCTCAATAAGTGATTCTAAAAAAGTAAAATTGTCCTTCTCTCCTAATCTCTATCTTTTTCTGTTTTATGCCATCAAAATTAGAGTCTTTGCAAAAATCATATTTCTCTTTCTACCCGATTCTCTTTATCATCATGCTCTTTCTCCATGCAGGTTGGTGGTTTGATGCCTGTGGCTTCTCCAACCTTAATGGGATCTACTACACAGTTGGCCACAACATCAGGAAGCTCAACGGCATTAAGTGGCACCACTTCAGAGGCCCAAGCTACTCCCTGCGTTCCACCTCAATGATGGTCCGACCCTACGACTTCTGAGAAGACCCCTCCACATCCAAGACTCCCGATGTTTGGCAACAAGCATATGTCTAGATTCTACAAAAAAATTACAAAACAACTTTTCTTATAATGTTTAACTTGCAGCAAAGCATCTCAGCTTCTGCCTCACGGTGCAAACCTGGTGCCTCCTGGGGATCTGATAAAGTACGGTTCATGACCAACGACTGATCCACCATAAAAGCTCTGCAGCCGAAGCTTTCAACTCACAAGCTCTAGAGTCTAGACCGATGAGAGATAAAAACGTGACCATGTCAAGATCATGTCAATTTATTTAAGATCTTGTTTTAGATGTTATAAGAGCAGGGCATGTTTGTATGTTGTTTTGAAGCAACAAAGACATGAACTGTGATAAATAAGATATTTAGTGATAAGAGAAAAAAACAGTATCAGTCTTTTACATCTGACACCAGTAAGACAAGTTGGACTGTTTGTTGAATTTCAGATTTAGAAAGAGATTTTCAGTGTCCATGTACTAAAGTTAACCATTTGTGAAAGGTTTGGGGAAGACAGGATAGCATCTTTCAGGATCTTGCTTCTTTGTTTCATGGTTTCTGAGCAACACTTTATATAGAAACTATGTACCTCATTAATTTGATCAAAATTCTTCCTTAGTCTCTAATGAATCCAGAGACAGCATGTACCTTGTAAATTATGAGCTTTTAAAGTTATTGAAGAGCGTGGCTGCTAATTTATCTACCGTCTGGGGTCAGTCAGTTGAGTTTTTAAGAGAAGCCAATTAAAGCATCACTGCAACAATGATGGTTAAAAGAGAAGGTGTAAAATGTGGTCTGAATCTTTTTTTAAGAGGTTGGGACAATGTCTTTTCAGTGATGAAAAATGTTATCAATTTCTTGTGTATGTGTCAAAATGCCATGAGAACTGTTTGTAACAGAGAATGTGGTACAACATCGTTTGTTATCTACAAATGCATATAAAAAAAATTGAATATCATCAAAAGTTAATTTATTTGTGTAAGTTAATTCAAAAAGTAAAACTTTTTTCTGTGAATTTTGGAATTACGGCTTACAGTTAATGAAAATCCAAACATTTTCCTCAACGTCCTGCAAGAAAGTAGTTTTATGTTTTTTATTAAGTATATTGTAACCTTTTTGAGCATAGGTTGACTTAGTATATCCTTAAAACACAACCACACTGAAATGATTAAGGTCTCATTTAACAAAATTTCACCAATTAAATTGGTGAAATTTAAAGCTTAAAAAAAATTAAGCTTTTTTTAGCTTAATTTTTTTTCTCTCATCTGTTTATAAATCCCCAAAACAATAAGTATTGAACCTATCATTATGACTGTCTTGTCACAGTAGCATTCACTCCAACACACACTTTTAACATGATCTCTGTCCCTGATGTTTCTCTGAATTGACCTGCTCTGTGTCTGTATGTGCATTCATGTCTAGTGAATTTTTCCCAAAGTCTTGAAATAGCTTTGCCTGACAATCCTCTCTAGGCTGTGGCTTATTCCCGTTGCTTGTGAGCTTTCTTTGACCTCATCTTTTTCCACACTTACCTATCTATTATGTTGTTAAACATACAGTTTGAACATCCAGCTTCTTTAGCTGTGACCTTTTGTGGCTCACTGTCAGTCAATGGCTGGTGAACATGAAAGGAAAAGCAATAACATGGTTTTAATGTTGCATTTCTGTACTTAAAATTACTTTTTTCTTTGGCCCTTTGCATCTTTTTTTTTTTTTTAGTTTTAAATATTCTTTAGCTGGAAGCCATAATCATTAAATGAATACTTGATATATATTACTCGGTCTCCAACAGATCTATTTAATATATGAGTTTCACTTTTGAAATTAACAAATTAACTTTTTATGATATTACACTTAACTGAGATGAACATGTACATGCTAAAAGGTTTGCGTCATCCCTTGAGAAAATAATGTGCTGGCAAATGCTGTTAGACTGTATGGGATTTTGTCAAACTGTCTTTAAATGTATTAAAAAAGAAAAACTTTTCATAAAATCAAGGAGCATCTTGCAGCAAAAGAAATGACTAATGGACGAAAAAAAGATGTGGACAGTGGCATGAATCCGTGGCATTCTCTGCAAGTGATTATGTCTACAGTAAAAGTACACATTTACTGGCACCAAAGAGTTGTGGACAAAGTGTACAAAAATACTGACAAGAAAACCTGAGGCATGATGGAAATTAAATGTAGATTAACACATGAGTAACAAAGAAAATGAGTCACGGCAATGTGGGGAAAGGAGAAGCTTACTTGGATCAAACAGATCTGATGCCAGAACTTCAGGAGGCTGCAACGGATGATCATCCAGCAGAAGGAAGTGATTCTTAAAAGATGTTCTCATTGTGTGCTCTGGTTTCTTTCAGAAGGTGGCTGGCTCTTATTGCCCTGGAAATAGAGCCAAATGAAAATCAGCAGGACTAAACGGGGAGTGTGTTACTGCTCTTAAGACTCAAACAAAAGTAAGAGCTGCTTCTGAGATGCCAAAAACACACTGATGGACAAATATCAGTGCATCTCAAACTTTGATCACCGTGTACAGTTCCCGCAAAGAAAAGGACTTACAGACATATTCTAAATGAATGGAAACTGATCAGTAATTAAAGGGCGGGTTTAATGTAAGTCTTGCATCTGTAAAAATGCTGAGTATTATGGTTTTCACTATTGTTCAGGAAGTACAGGCACGCAAACAGTTTTTTTTTTGTTTTTTTTTATGCAATTATCAAGTGATATGGCAACACTTACTGGACATTGATAGAAGGAAGGAACTAATTAACTAAATGCAAACACAAGCCAAATCCAAATCAATCTTTTTCTTCTCTTGTTTTATGTTGGGTAAAAAATCTGGACAATGAAATGAGAAAAGAACAAATAAATGACAGATGTTGGGATTTGATGGCATCCAGATCCTGAAGCAAATAAATGTTGCTTTGATTATTTTCCTAATCCAAACAAGCTGGACATTTTCGTGTTTCTTGCTGAAGTCTGCATTTTATTATGGCCTCCGAATTAATCTTTCATGGCACTCATTCAAAAAATAAACAAGTTGAAGAACATATTTATTCTATTCAGTGCAGTGGTTTTATTAATTCTTCAATAGAGATGGGTTTTTGCTCTTTTAATCTCCACACCTCCGTCACATGAGTTTGGGATTTTATGATTAAAAAATAAAACAAATACCTCACAGATCGTCAGTTTAAAACTTAGCAGTTCAGTACAGTCAATTTTTAGTAAGTATGCATTATCATTTTTAAAACTGGACAAAAGTAAAAGGTTGAAGCCAACATAAAGGATTAGCTCACACAATAGAAACAGTAATATGACAGGACATTTTGACCCCTGACGTAAGTTTTGGGATGATCACCTTTTAAAGCACCAGTTTCTTCCCAAACATCAATTAGACTCTGCACTTTTCTTTTGCAAAGAGGGAATACTGTGAATTCTTTTAGATATCAAAACATTATTTTTAAATATCTGTGAAGACATTATTAATACAGCTACAGAAATATGAGCCAAAAAAAATCAATTTTGGGGATTCCTTCCTCGGTGTGAGGCCCTCTTGGTGTCTCCTTCACATGTCCCGCTAACCACGTCCCCCACAAACAACTGTTTCTAATGAGTGCTTCAAGAAAACTGGATGTCTTGCAACTTCTGGTTCCCAGTGCTGAAACATAATGGATATATATAAAAAATAAAAAAAAAACAACTTGTGGCTCAAACAGGAATATTTCATTTTAGTTTCATAAAGCCTTATAAAAATGTTCAGTCAGTTTGCTAAGAGGGCAAATCTAAGTGCCAAAAAGGGCCATTTTACTCTGGGGCAATGGAAGGTTAGTAACAGAATGATTGGCATTAGTTGGAAGAGTGGGGATTCAATATGCCATGTGCTAAAATGCCTCTGAGCAAAATGATAAGCCCCCTATTGACATGAGCATGCTTATAGGTTGCATAATTTCCATGTTTGCGTTGATTTTGATTTAAAAAAAATCTTCAAAATGACTAAATTGTAGCTGAATCATATTTTCATAACCAACCCAAAATGTGCAGTATTTGGCCCAAGTGAGATTCCCAGCTGTGAGGAAAATGGTTATCATCATGCATCAGTGGATATGACATTTCTGCATATCTGTGTGTAGCTGACAGCTAACCAAGGGTGCAGAAGTCAACAAGTCTTATCAAGAACAGAACAAAAGAAACATGTTTTGATCAAGCCCTTGTGCATCTAAATGAAATGTTGCAAAACCATATAAATGGAAACAATGAAGTAAGTAATAGCTGCACTTTAAAACCAGCATTATGAAAACAATTACAGAACTTCAGAACTTCATATTACTGGCATCATTGGCATGTTTTAATTGTAGGCTTAAGGATGTCTTTGAACTATATACTAGTATATAGTTTAAATAAGACATAAAGGAAACTCAGTGTTTTACAATAGACATAACAAAGCTTTGATCCCTATACTGTTAAGTTTGTGGTCGGAGCTGAAAGGCTGTGCATGAAAGTTTCCCTACAACTCACACTTAGTTACCCACACTCTGTTTGAAGGAGCCTGCCCAGCATTGCAGCAAACAATTAAGAAAAGCCTATGGAAGAATTACAATGATTGACCATTCAGTTTAAAATATAACTTTAACGACTATTAAAGTAATGTATGTAAAATTCAATCCATCCATCCATCCATCCATCCATCCATCCATCCATCCATCCATCCATCCATCCATCCATCCATCCATCCATTTTTTTTACACCCTTATCCCTTAGTGGGGTCTGGAGGGTTGCTGGTGCCTATCTTCAGCTAACTGTAAAATTCAATATTTTGGAAAAAAATTAACATAATGAAAAAAAATATCTCACACACGATTCTAGATTTGAGCAATTATTAATACCCCTTTTTAATCCTAAGTGACCTGAAACAGGAAACTTAGTCTGATTTAAAATCAAGAAGTATCTTGTTTAACGGTGTAAAATATATCGGATTTAAACTGCAGGTTTTAATGGGTTAAAACAAGGATACCAGGGGAAATGCAAACACATAAACCTATTTTAAACACAAGATAATTAGGAAAATAACTGCATGTATTAGATTTGGTGTTTGTTTACGATCAATACTTCAATAGTTTGAGAGTGTCCTCTTGTGGTTCAAACTTTGTATTACAAACCTTCTGACCAGCTTGTGGAGATCTGAAAAAAGGTTAATGTTAATAAAATCCCTACAGAAAAAAAAAAAAAAAAAAAAAGGGATGGTGAATGAAAAAGGGAAAAGGTAAGAAATAGGAAGAGGAAGG